ACTGGACATCATTTAACTAATGGATGCTCTTAAATCAGAGGACAATGGGTAGGGCCATTAGTATTCATTGCGGCTTGCAAACACACGGTTTTTGCTGATATGACAATGATTTTATCGACAAAGCCAAGTTATTGGTGGGTGGTCACAGGCTCACAGCCCACCCTCTACCCCAAGCAAAGCCACGGGGGTGGGGGTGGGGGTAGGGGAGGATGTGACAATGAAGTCTGTGTTATTCCTTAAGTGTTCACTTGCAAATATTTTATTTACATTTGTTTCACTATGCAACAGACAAGATCTAAATTCAGTGGCAAAGGGGGAGTGGGCGGGGTCTGGCCGGGTTGAGGGGGGGACTAAACAACCTACTTTTTATCCACTGGTCTGAACAATGATACACAGTGTGGTTCTGTTCGTGAAAATGTGCTAGATTCAGGAACACTTCCAATTGTACAAGTAATTACTCAAAACAAAGGAAAATACTGAAAATACACTTTTTAAGGTTTTTGTGAAAATTTCCATTTTGGAGCGCTACTGCACAAAGGATATACAATAACCCAAGATTTCTTCACCAGATATAAAAAGACCAATGTCTGAACTAACCATAGCCAAATGGAAAATATTTTGAGTGCCCTGGCAAGTGGCCTTTTTTTGAGGATTAAAAATGGGGTAAAAAGTACAAGTTTGCTAGTTTTAAGTAAGTTTTTAGTAAGGATGATACTTTGTCTTGATATATTTGTGACATTACTTCGCATTTTGGCTTGATAACCTTTGAAAATAACGCGAAAAATGAATTTTTGCAGCCTCAAAATTGCCTAAAAATGGCCAAACACATAATGGCCATAATATAATATAATAATATTAGTGTTTAAAAAGTCTTTTTCAATTTTTTTAGGGTGGACACTTATATGAAATATTTACACGAAATGACTCTTAACCATTTTCACACTTATTCCATCTGGACCTGTTGCTTTTTTGATCAACATTGATGATATTTGCTTTTGAGCATAGTCTTCAGTAATCTCAGGCAGTAAGCACTTTTCAACAAGTGAATCTGTATCAAGAGAGCGGATATTGTTGTCCACTTCGAGTTCACATGGAGGGGCATTACTGGCCATACGTGTTCCGATTGTTGGGAAATGTTTGTTAAAAGTACCAGCAATGTCAGTGAGATCGTCAACGAATTCCCCATTCTGGGAAATAAATAGACCTTGGAATACTTTTCTGTTTATTGGTGAGAACCTCTTTTAGTTTTTCCATAGAATGAAAGAGTTGCCTTTATTTTCGTCGATGGTCATTGAAAGCGTTTGCTTTTCTTGCTGCAGAGGGTTTTTTTAATGGTGATGTTATGTGTCCCAATCATTTTGTGAGCCAGATCGTCTAGCCACTTTATTTGCACGATCTCGCTGTCGCAAGTGTTAGAATTTCCCCATCGAGCCAAGGCAACGATGCACCACGAATACGTTGTGATTTCACTGTGCATGGTGGTTACTAATACTCATAAACAAAGAGGGCCACATGGACCATGCTTCATTTACATCATGACAGTTAAGGACATGTTCCCATGGGGCATTAAGGAGGTCATGTTTAAAAACCTGAAGATAATTGAACGGTCTTCTTTTTGGGGAGGTTTCCAAGTATGAAGACCGTAAACAAGATAATGATCACTAATCAGGACAGGTAAACAAGTACTAATACTCATAAACAAAGAGGGCCACATGGACACCACTTTCACTTACAAGTTCAGGATGTGAGCTAAAAATTAGATCAATGATTGTTTCAGTTAATTTGCGTCATTTGAAACATATTAAAGCATAAAGTTACAGGGTCTGAGTAAGTACCATTATCAATATCACAATTAAAGTCGCCTGTTACAATAATTTCTCTACATTCACATGAGGCTCTATCTATAATACCACTTAGTTTATCTATGAACTCAACAGAACTTGAAGGTGGCCTGTAAATAGAACTTATAAGCACAGGCTGCCTTTGCTTACATTTGAGTTCAACCCATAAACATTCGACATCATCTGTTTCTAGGTCATCACGGCGGACGAAAATTATATTATTTTGGATGTACATTGCTACCCCACCCCCATGACGGTTTCCATTTCTTCTGACAGTACTTGGGGAGGTGAAGCTCCTCGTCAGGGATTGAGGAGTCACAAAAAAAATAATTTAAACAGATGATGTCAAATGGATTTGCAGACATTAATATTTTAAAATGGTCAAATTTATTCATAAGACTTCTTACATTGAGGTGGGTGAATGAAAATCCACCCGCAATTTGATTGTGAATGATGCCATCTATTAAGTTTACTTTGGAATCCTGCTCTGTGGGTTGAGTAGTTATCTGACCTTCTCCAGGTATTGGTTCCATTCTTGGTCTCGGAGTCAATGATGAGCGTTGTGGGTCTTGGATTGGGTCAGCTTGGGTCGTTAAGGGTAGTACTGGTTGGACAGCCGGAAAACCGTTGAAGCATCTGGGCTAGCTCCTTCTTCCAAGCTCTGCGCCAACTTCATAATGTTGAAGACTTGGGCACATTGTTGGGTTCGCAACTTGGGGATGGAATGCGTAGACTACTATTTTGACATTGAAGACCCATTAGTACATGTAGTTAGAATCTGCTTCAAATTTGAAGGGTTGCAAGCCTCTACACTAGATTCAGGGAGCTTGTTCCATTGACTTACAGTGCAGGGGAAGAAAGACATCTGGTAATATTCTCTGGAGCAAGACGGGATTTTGTAAGCTTGTGAGTTTTCTGTTCGGGTTGGAGCATCTAAATTCTTGGACTCAAATGGCATGTTGACGGCAGCCAAACCACGGTGAATTTTGTAGAACATCGTGAGTCTTGCTATTGTACGCCTATCTTCAAGGGTTTGCCACTGCAGAGATTTCAGCATTGCTCCAACACTTGACGTCTGATGATAGCATTCAAAACAAATCTTGCTGCATGCCACTGCACCATTTCCAGTTGGCTACTAAGATTCTTTGTGTATGGATCCCAAACTACTGAACTGTATTTCATATTGAGGCCTAACAAGAGACTTGTATCCTAATTGCTGAATGTGTGAGTTGCGGACTTTGAGGTTGCGTCGCAGGATGTTTAAGGAGGTTGTGGCTTTTGAAGCAATATTGTTGATGTGATCCAATCGGTTTCTTCAGGGCATTGGAGTACGACAACGCACCAAAAAATGTTCTCTGCAGCGTGAATTCAGTCCATGGTGCACGTCGACGTGTGTTCTCTGATGGTCTGGCTATGTGCTGTAGAAGGTTTTTCGGCCAAAAAGCGTAGTGTTGAGATAAACGCCGTCTGAGACAACATGGTTCGAAGTTATGTTTCTGTTGTCGATAAAGTCCCAGTTGTTGTGCTGTACGATGGATTTCAACAAAATCACTTGAATCATCGTCCTTCTTACGTTGGGAGACTGTCTGGTTTTTGCGATGGATGATTGATGAAATCTTCACTGACTTTGGTTGCAGTGTTTCACCGAGGGAAGTGATTTTTGCAGCAATGGTTTCTGCATGTTGAAATTTGGTTTGAAAATTTGCAATCAAGCAACTTAATATCAGCCTGAACCTTTGAAATAGCCTGGAAAATTACATTTAGGGTGATGGGTTCTGATGAGACGGGGTCCGGGGTCCTGCTGGCATCTGTGGTAGTGGTACCTGTAATGGGGGCCTGGTTCTGCTTTTTGGGTTTTGGCTGGGAAAATGAGCTAAGCAAGACTTAAGGAAACTATAACGGTGGCCAAATATGTAGAGGCATAACTCCTTGATGTCCTCGGTTGTTGTATGGGGATACCTACAGGATTTGGGGTTGAAATTACATGGTACTTAACTTTTGTGTCGTGGAGTCACTCGATGTCTCGGCGCCATCTTGCTGGATCACGTCACAGTACTTTTTCTTCGTAGACTCATGAATATCACTTTCCTAGCTTCTAACAGTTCATCAATGGCAAAATCACTACAGAGGGGTGTCTCTACAGGGACAGATGGCGAACTCTTCAGTTCGAGGACCATTGCCTACATCCTGGGGTCAATTTCTGAAGAAAAAACTTCGGAGAGCCAAAGTCACACACATCTTGTCCGTCACACACATCAATGCCATTGCGTAATGTTTGAATTTGATGTAGGGGACACAATATCCCAAAAGCTGGATATGACATTAGATTCTGTGACACATGGGAGGAGAGACAGAGCTCAAGTACATGTAAGAGACCTACTGCATATGACAGAGTGTAGGAAGGTAATGGACAGTCATCATCATGCCTCTTGTTTGTTGATGGTTATGTGAGGTTGTGTGGGGAGGGCCAGTGTAATCGCTTTTTTATGCCCCGCCAGCGAAGCTGAAGGGGCATACTGTTTCCGCCTTGTCCGTCCATGTGTGTGAGTGCGTGCGTGAGTTCGTCTTACAGCCACTATGTGGACATGTGAAGAAAAGATGTCCACATAATGCAGGTTGTGTTGACGTTAGGTGGACTAGCCGTGTCCACATAATGTTTCCCCCTCTCTAGAAAACAGGTTTAGAGGCATTTTCGGGTTAGATGGGTTATCTGTCGCAGAATGAAGAGAAACATTCAAGGAAATAAAAAAAACATTTGGGGTTGAAAGAGTTTTTACAGTTTAAGTAAAGTTATTTTTTGTACCGAGTTTTTTTTAACTACACAAAAACAAAGGAATATCCATACAGCGTACTATGGGTGAAAACGACAGGAATAACATATTCGTACTCCGTCATTAGGTTGGTTTCCTTTCAACCAGATGTTTGAAATAAGTAAACAATCAAAAACATGGAATTTTTTAGGGATTTGAGGACCTAGTGCCCTTTTAATACCAGATGGTACAATATCATGTGATCCGAATGGAGGTAATGATGAGGTTAAATATAAAATTGGTCCCTTCTAATTGTCCACATTGTCATCAATTCACTCATAGTTCCTGGATTCTTTTGTTTAGTATTGTGTTGTTTTTATTTTTGTTTCCTTTTTTTTCCATTTTGAAGGTAAGGGTGCAACTTGCTAAGATAATAAGCAATGCATTGTACATCGTGAATCTGATCTGTCAGAGAAAGAGTGATGTGACGGATGTACAACTCGGTTTTTCTCTACGTACTCTACCAGAAGCATTGGAGAACGTTGTCAAACAAATCTGTGAACATGCCAAGAAGTTTAAGGTAAATGTGTCTCATAGTCATTTTCATTGCACATATACACAATTATTTTTTATTCGGCCAACAGATTAAAACAAGTACATTGTATAATGTGCTTGTGCCAGTTTCAACTGTAACCATTTTTACCCCTCAGCTGAGAGGCTCAAGGGGTATTGTCATCTCCTACGGCGTCCGTCCGTCCGTCTGTCCGTTCTGACCATACCATCCTTGTGGGGTGATGTTCCTTTCAGGACACATCACCCCACTATTTTCACAATAGAAAAACATCACCCAAGAAGAGAATCTTTAGAAAAAGGGATAATGGGAACACAATGCTATCACCCCACAATTCCGTCTGGCTGGAACGGACGTACGTCTGTCCGGGCAGCTTAGTTTCCGGATGATAACTTGAGTTAAAAATGTTGTTTGGGATTGTAGCTTCAGTAGGGGGTTGCCCTTGGGAGTAGGCAAGTTGGGATTAGTTTTGAGGTCAAAAGGTCAAAGGTCAAGGTTGCCGTGGTGAGTTAAAGGTAAATGGTTTCTGGATGATAACTTGAGTTGGAAATGAGATTTTGGTGTCTAACTTAGGTAGGGGGTTTCCCTTGGGTACAGGCAAGTTGGGATTGGTTTTGGGGTCAAAAGGTCAGGGGTCAAGGTCAGTGTGGTCAGTTAATGGCTTCTGCATGATAATTTCAGTTAGACATGATATTTATTTATTGATTTATTTCGTGTTATTTTACCAGGGTAGCCCCATCAGTTGTCAATGAACTGTTCTCCCTGGGGGCCCTGATATTTGAGTTCAGAATGTCAGTTTGCCCTTTTCGACAAACTTTGGCTGAGGGGTTTCAACAGCAACGCTGTTATTTTTCAATTTCTTCTCATTATTTGGTTCTGATACGTAATAACTGATCCTTCCCAACACCCCAGAGAAGCTCCACACAAAGATTTCAGGACTTTGTTTTCTTAAATGTTATCATCCTCAGGCTGTTCATTTTGTTTGTCAAGCTCTTATATGGGTTACATGTATATAGAGCATGCTGCGGCCTTTGTTACTGACATGTTCATTAAAGTGTTCTACTTTGTAATGGAATTATTCTCATTGATTGTATTATGCTATGTAGACTAGCGGCATGCTGAAACATCAAAGTGAGTTGAAGGAATGTTGGCAGCATGTCAAACGCTTTGGTCTGCAGGGCTACCTGGACACTGGCAAAACAACAGCAGTGTCACCAAGGTAAGACCAATGTTCCACTTAGTTTGCTCTCTTCCACTTTCCCACTTCAGATCACAAGTGGATGAGGAACTTGAAACTCTGTTTATCTAAAAGTAGTACTCTATTCCTGTCAAAAGAATAGGTTATTATGTGCATGAATACTCCAGTCACTCAAAATGCCCACACCAGTACCTCCATTTATCTCGAACTTTTGATCGGCCAATCAGTAGAAAACAGGGCTAAGTAAGGAATAAAGAAGTGCAAAAACCATTGCAAAAGTTATTATTGCCCAGTACACTTTGTCTTTTCATATGGGCATGTGGTGTGCATGGGCGGATCCAGGAATTTTTGCAGGGAGGGAAGGGGGTGTTTCATCAGCAAATCAATGCTGAAATGTAGACAGTTTTTTTTCTCTGGAAACTTGGTCTCCGTAAAATCAATAGTTGGAAGGGGGAGGGGGGGGGGGGGGAGAGCCCCGTACTATACTTTCAGTGGGAGCGCTGTTTAAATCCATTTAAATCATGAACACTGTATTACAAATAGGGCATTAGATATTATACAAAAAAGAACTTCATGTAATTCTAAAAGACATACACAAGTCTATATATTCCATGACGGAAATTTTACAAAATAATAATTCTATATTTTCTAACTCCCATTTTTTGAAATCAGATTTATTAAGTCTTGTTAGAAATTAAGTCCTATTATTATATTATAAAAAAAAGAGGCTCAATGTAAAATTGAAATTGCATCTTTAAATTTCCGTTAGTAGTCTTAGCTGAAATCAAGGGGTGACTGTGGAGTGTTTGGGATCCGAGTTCCTGTATAACAGATGAAACATCCACCTTTAACATTTTACTTTCGTCAAGTTTTAACATTGCAAAAAATAAGTAAAAATGTTTGCACTCCTAAGTTAGAGTTTTTTCATCAGATTAACACTTTATGCTTTATGTAGTCGTTAACACATATTTAAAAACAAATGTTTAAAAAAGTGGCAACGATATAGAGGTTGTTTCCAATTATTTTATTTAATTGATTGTGCCAACAATAACAAATTCTGTTGTCATACTGTCATTTAAGGTACATGTATGACACATACATGAAGAGCACTCGCATGACAGAAGCAGGTACAAGTGATTCCTAGCTTTCAATCACTTCCTTTACATCCCCATCACCATCATCATCTCAAGGACAGACTGTTCAGCTGTAATTATGTTTTTATTTAGATTATTGTTATTTATTATCCGCGGTCTCGGTTTCGGTGTCGGACCATATTGGTGTCGGTCTCGGTACGCTCGAAGGGGCTGGTCTCGGTCTCAGTCTCAGTCTCTGAAACTTCAGGTCTCGGTTTTGGTCTCGGTCTCGAACTATCCGGTCTCAACTACAACACTGTGTGGAATGGAACATTCATTCGTCACCTCATGAAATTATTCTTACCATTTCACTCACAAACATTCATTTGTGCACTATTTTATAATAGTGGACCAGCCAAAGTGGAATTTTATACTTTGGATGGCAATTTTTTTTTATAATAGCAGGCAACCGTGTCAGATCAATCAGTCATAGGATGGGGAAGAAAATGTAGGTGGATGCCACCCTTGACTTTGGCTCTAAAAGTCATTTTCAAGGTCAAAGGTCAAATAAGCAGACCTGCCAACAAAGAGTAATCTGTATCATGCGTGCACCGAGAAAAAGAAAGTTGGTTGAATGCACATAAGATCTCCTGCTGGTATGTATGAGTACGAATACAGACATTTATTTTTGCACCAGCGATGCCGCTGCTTGAAGTATCTGCACACTCTGGAAAACTGGACTGGTGTCTAGTTTGTGATACCGTGTACATAATGTACGTCGTACAGTTGGAATCGTGAAACCAGATTCAGCTCGTGCAGTACATCATTTGCTTGGATTCATGCATGTGTGTACGTATCATAATCTACAGGCACAGCCTCTTTGAACTACATTTTTTTTCAAGAGTGCCAAAATTTTCAAAACCCGTATTTTACGGAGGGGGCGGGGGGGAACGTATGGCAGTATTTTCAACAAATTTCCGTACGAAATACGGCAGAATCGTACTACCGGTAGTTGGCCGGTCTGAATAAGGTCAAAATATGTATTTCTTTATAGATTTTGGAAGAATTTGGGCATCAATTATCGTACGCACTTGCAAGAAAATACTTTTATTTTATTGTAGGTGTACTCCGGAGTTGTAATTAAGTTACAATAAAAATTTTCACCTCCATGTATGACATTATACTGCAAAAAAGTGGTGTTTTTTTCCATGAAACACATAGAAACATTCACCATTGTATCAATTTGAAATGACGGTCATTTCTCTGACGGTTTGTATCTGTATTTTTGGCATTTGGTTGGTAGTTTTGGAAAATAAAGTGTTTTACTTAATGTCTTCAAGTAAATCAATATTATTGCATTGGCCAGCTGGGTTGCAGCAGTCTGTGGCATCACACCTGCAGGAAAACGCACACCTCAGATTCCTTTATGCAGAAGCAAGTGCATCAGGTTGCTCTGCCCATCAATATGATAAGGTTATTGTTATCATCAACATGCTTCATCTGGAATGGACAACTCAGCATGGATGAAACAGTTTTTCTTCGTCATCTTTTCCTTGAGATCTCAGCTGTGCAATTATGTGATGCAAAACCTGTCTCTGGTTTGTTCATAGTAATGTGCATCAGTAGGAGCGTGCATAGTTGAAGTGCCTTGGGATTTATTTGGAACAAAAGTGTCATCAATGAACTCAGCATATGCATGAACTTATGGTGCTGGAAGTTCATGTTTGCGAGATAGAAATGTTCCCTTCAGTTATGTATCTTTTTTTAGTCGAATAGGATCTCCACCTGGTGTCCCGTTAAAGGTGACCACAGACTGAAGTTTTGATTGTCGGAGGGCTTCTTGTCAATATTTTTGATGAGATCTTGTACATTCAGAATATCTGTCAGTTGTCCCACTGTGGCGCAAGGTTCTTCTGTTTGGCTGCCACTATTCTTTATTACCAACACATTTTCGGCAAGTTGTTTAACTACCACATCGTGCTCGTGACCACGCTCGACCAGCCAGCTGAAAACAGCCGATTTGATGTGCCACAGATCTAGCTTCACACATGGGTTGATGTCGTCTCAAATCACGTTAGTGGGATTTGCCATCAAACATGATCTCTGTAGTGTTGGCTGCATGCGGCTGCTTCTAGTCCAAATAAAGACCAGAAATGTCCATCTTTCGACCAATTTTCATCTGTTTACAAAAGGCTTTTAAGAAATTGAAGAAGAGAATGGAATCTTGCCATATGAGAAAATTACTTTTTGTACTTGGAATTTCCTTCCAAATCCTCAATGATGGAGCATTTTGTGCCATGTACCCATGGGCGTCGCAAGGGGGGGGGGGCAAGGGGGGGCGCTTGCCCCCCCCGGAAAGGCCAAAAAAAAAAAGAAAAAAAAAGAGAAAAAAAGGAAAGAAAAAGAGGCGCGAAGTCATAGTGGTGTAAATTTAATGAGTTGGGGGGGGGGGAAATGTCCCTGCCCCCCTCTAAAACTGAGAAATCGAGAATATGTTGAGAAATACAGGAATTTGTTGGGAAAAATATGTTTTGCCCCCCTCTAGAAAAAAATCCTGGCGACGCCCATGCATGTACCGGTATGCAGGTATGCGATGACGAATGAAGGATGGACTGCGTCCAGCGGATATGTGACAAAATATTGATGAGTTGTGCACTTTTTCATAAAAGCGTGAAACTTGGCACAGATGTTCGTATTCATGCCAAAAAATATTTTAGATGTGGAGCCATCACAAATTCACCCGTTTAGGAGCGTAAATAGGGGGGGGGGGGCAGGACTCATCATGCGCGCAGTGAAAACGGTTGTTCCCACTAATCACAAAAGCAGGAAACTTCATGAGACATCTTTTCTCTTTTTCTCCTGTTGGGGGGGGGGGGGTTGCAAAATCCCCCTACCCACTACATGTTACACCGCATTGACATCAGATTGGGTCACAACACGATGCACTTGCTTCACGAAGTGGTGGTCCACCATGACTTCGAATTCAATGAATCTGTGTATCCCACCATACATTACAAAATGGTATATACAGTGTTGGAGTCAAGACCTCAAAGACCAAGACCGAGACTTCCCCATCCGAGACCGAGACCTCATTTAAACAATAAATAAATAAATAAATAACGTGCGAGGGTGCACTCAATCCAAGATGGTGGCGCCCATGTTCCGTGAAAACTTTGATGACCAAAATATAAACGTACAATCACTCAGCTTCAATCCTACTCAAGTCAAAGCTTGCTGATAATTTGATTACTTTTTTAACAAGAAAATAACTATTATTAGACACAAGGCCGAACTCGTCCCTGCCTGGTCAGTAATTAGACTTGATGACAGTTGTTAGATAGTCGTATTTTGTCTGTGAACTTCAGTCGAACTCCATCGGCGCGGCCGGTATAAGACTAGTACTAATCAGCCGAGTTCCGACATTATCTAACGACTTGAAGGTTACGTTCTCCACTGTTATTCATCTATTCGTGAAGCGCAATACATATGCAGTGCATTTTTGCGGTGAGATCAAATGGCGCACCGCAATGCAAATGAGGACTCATTCATTCCGTTACATGGGGAGTTCTTCTCAATACGTTGGGACATGTTTGCAGATCGGGCGACGTGTTAACGGCCAAATCACTCAGCTTGGTCAATTGCGCATATAAATAAAATGTATCATTGTAATATACTTCATTTATTTGAGTCGTGTATGCCCTGTAATGAATTTTGGAATGTTTCACAACACAAAGCACAAACCCTCGAAGTAATGAGAATGACCTTCCGTTGTGGCCTAGAATTCATGCTGGAATCTGAACCAATCAGAGTGCTCACATAGAATTCGCCAGCGATTCAAAATACTCCCATGTGTTGTCTACAAAATAGAAAACATTTTCGCCAAGTCCGTTATTGAACATCAATACTCAGCATCGATCATTTGGTCTGGGAACCAGGCTTCATGCATTG